AGTACGACGAGGCCGGCATGGTCGAGGCGGTGGGGAAGCACAACCCGGTGAGCTTCGCCTTCGAGGTGACGAGCGACTTCATGCACTACAGGAAGGGCGTCTACTCAAAGTGAGTGTTTCCGTCTACTCAGAGTGATTCTGTCTACTCAAAGTGAGTGTTTCTCTCTACGCAAAGTGAGTGTTTCTGAGCCTGGGAGGTGGGGTGCAGCGTAGAATCATAGGATCATAGAATCACAGAATCACAGAATCATTAAGGTTGGAAGGGACCTCTAGGGATCATCCAGTCCAACCCCTGCACACGCAGGGTCACCTAGAGCACGTGGCACAGGACTGCGTCCAAGCGGGTTTTGAAGATCTCCAGAGAAGGAGACTCCACAACCTCTCTGGGCCTACTGTTTTGAAATTCCTGCAGTCACTGGCTTCTCCATTTGTCCTTGTGCGGATTCTCCCTGTGGCAGCGGACACAGGACTCTGCCGTATTCTGCTGCTTCCCGTTAAACAGAAAACGCTGAAAGCGCCTGTCCTGCTTTGGGAAACCCTGGGCAGAGCGAGCTCCGCGCCGGAGCGGGGCCGGAGCCGGAGCCGGAGCCGCGCGCGCTCCCAGCTGGGTCGCGCTGGGAAGCGCTGCTGGCCGGTGCTCCCGCTCTGTGGGTCCGTGCCCATCCCAGCGGGCGCTCGCCCACTTTGTGCGTCCAGACCTGCCCACAGAGCAGCGCGGGGGGAACGTGATGGGGACGTGGGGTGACCCGGCAGGAAACCGTCCGCAATGCTGGGGCGGTTCTAGAGTCAGGGCAAAAAGCTGCTGAAAAGGCTGAGCATTTTGGAAAGAGTTTGGAAATGGCTGTGACAGGAAAGGTGAATTTCTATCAGGTAAGAACTGGGAAATAGGCGTGTTTGGAGAGAACCAGTAAAATACTTTAGAGTCCTGAATCCTCAGTCATATAGAACTGCAGGGAGGGTTGGACTAAGAGTGTAAGTATGAGGGACCTGCCCAGGGAGAGGAGGCAGCACTGTGAATTCAGGCAGCTTTCCTGCTGCAAGAAACCTGGGAATGTCAAAGTTAATGGCCAGCAACAGGCAGCCGCAGGACATGATCCAGGTATTCTGTAACAGGATTCCAGCTTGAGGAACGCATCAAGTGAAGTTGTTGTGTAGATTTATTGTCAAAGATAGATTTATAGTAAAAGCATATAAAATAATTAATGCCAACCTATGTTCCATGGACCAACTATTAAGAGAATCGTATTAACAGAATTTATTTATAGCCCAGTATCCTAGGCTCAAAGACAACCAATAGTTATTTTTTAGTGAGAAAACAGAGCGCAGTGTACGCTTTTCTTGGCATCGCTCTCTGGTTTCCACAATTAGAAGATTCTCCGTTAGTTCTTTACACAATCCGAGCGCCGTCAGAAACGCGAGCTAAGGCATCGTTAATTCCAGGCTGGCTTTCCCACCGTTGTTTTCCCTGTGCAGCCCCAGGTGTGAGCACACTCCCGACAAGGTGAACCACGCTGTGCTGGCCGTGGGCTACGGGGAAGAGCGCGGGACGCCGCACTGGATCGTTAAGAACTCGTGGGGCCCGTTCTGGGGCATGGACGGGTGAGCGCACCCCTGAATTGCACTTCCTCGTTAACCAATTCACAATGTGACCACTGTGCTCAGCTCTGCGATGTGCAGCCGTTCCCTGCACTGGTGTGAGAGCAGAATGACGTGTGCGCGGTGCGAGCAGCCGCCTCGTGCCCGCAGTGCTGCTGGAACAGGGGGTGTTCACTCGTATCCGTTTGCTTCTTTCTTAGGTATTTCCTGATCGAACGAGGCAAGAATATGTGCGGTCTCGCCGCTTGTGCATCCTATCCCATCCCTCAGGTGTGAGACGGGAGCACAGGCTGGGGAGAACGGCCACAGAAGAGGGAACAATTCTTTGTGTGTCCATTTCTAAATGCTAAAATAAAGTGAGGGAAAACAAGAAGGAAGAAAACCCCTCAGAACCCGCTCCACGCAGGGAGGTTCCTTTGCTTGCACGAAGCTTCTCAC